GAAAATTTTGAAATTCAGCTGAGAAAAAATAGCTCTGTGCCTTTTCCTTTTTCATTGAAAGAAATATCTACATATGTGATGAGAAATTTGTTCTAACACGTATTTTGCTACCTGTCTGACATAACATTTTACTGGAGTTGTTTGTGTGCTAGAAAGGGTGCACAAAGGATGAACTGGTTCTTGTCTTGCACAATCATAAGGCTACCTACAATTTACTCAGAATTAATTGTCCCTATCCTCTGTTGGATTAGCGCTCCATATTCTATGATAGCACTTAACAAATTGTGTTGATTTTTCTCTTTACAGTTATACAGCCCTTACAAAACTATACACCCCTAGAGCACTTTGAAAACTCCTTTGAACTAGGAGCCATGGGTGACTTACTGTAGAGAGTAAATATTTGCCAACTTTGCTTGTACTATGCAACTGCAAAGTCACCAGAAATGTTGCATCTTTAAAAATCAACTTGTCATTTGCTTTCTTTAGCCATAAAATATTTACAGACAAATCAACATGTTTTATTATAAAATTAGATATATAATAACTAATTGTGGCAAAGGACAATTGTGGGTGAAATTTGAAATATGGGACAAATATACATCTGTTCTATCATAAAAAATAAATGAATAAGGAATAAATGAGGAAAGGCAAGAATGACTCCATGCCCCAGAAGTTTGGAATGTTATTGACAGATTCTACAAAACTCATAATTCTTTGAGGCCAGACACATGTCTTTGTAAGAGCCATTCTTTCCATGCTTCAGGAGATAATACATAAAAACGGGCTGTGGGCTGGTTAGCTCACTTGGTTAGAGCATGGTGTCATTGCAACAGGGTCACCTGTTCAGATCCTGTACCAGCCAGCCACCCCACAAAAAGAACTATTCCCTGTACCTAATCATACCTACATATACACCTCCCCACCCTTCACACATACATTGTACTCACATCACATGTAAAGCTATAAATCATCTGTACCTATGACTTTTAGGTGTTACCTTTAGATTATAGCTTCTCATCACAGATTTAAAATTGACTTTATTCTAAATGCTGTTAAAGTAGGATACAGTTCTCATAAGCAGATCTTTTATTTGATTTCTAATGAAAGATGCATTGTGATTTTACTTCAAAAGTACATTTCTTCTGATCAGTTTCCAAAAAGCTTGTTTCACATC